CTAACTCAAGAATGTCCTGGAATGAGGGTCCAGGCCTGTCAACCATGGGGCTTCTGACCTGAGCACCAAGGTTGAGGGACAGGATTAGGTAGGTAGGGTCTGTCCTGTGGCCACCTGGAAGGTCCCACGTGGGACTGTTCTGGGAACAGCTGGGGTCCACGATCCCAGGTCAATACTCTAGGTTTTGGATACCATGAGTATGTATTTTCACCTGTGCCTAATAAAGGAGAATTATGAAATACTTTCATTTATCTAGGCGATTTCTTCCATCCTTTCCAATCATCTTTTATCAGTTTTCCTTGCCTTCAAAACTGGCCCTCATGGTGAAAAGCCCTGGAGTTGTGTCTCAACCTGAGTAGCTGGAAGTACAACTGAGTACCACTATGCCTGGCTAATTCTTAAAAAAAAAAAAATGTTTTGTAGTGACAGGGGCCTCACTATGTTGCCCAGGCTAGGTCTTGAATGCCTGGCCTTAAATGATCCTCCAGCCGTCTCCCAAAGCACTGGGGTTACAGGCAGGAGCCCCTACCCACAACCAGAACATTTCTCAAATGTGATTGGTTGATCTGCATCCATCCCTGGGGTGCTTGTTTAAAATGCAGATCCCTGGACCCTCCCCCAACCTATTGAGTCAGAACATCTGGAGTTCCGCATTTTAAGCTCCCTGGGTGATGCTGCTGGGCCTCCAAGTTGGAGAACCTCTGTAGTTGAAGAAATCCAGATTCCTTGGGGACTCAAATCTTATTTCAGCTTTTCTTTGGATTCGTTTGACTTCAGCCTAGCTGTAAAATGGGTATATATTTTACATGTCTGTGATGCCAGGATGCACTCACAGGGGAGAGAGGGCTTTACAAGAGGTCAGAATCTAAGCCACCACTACAGTTGTACCAGATCCACGGAGAAAGACAGCCAGGCCACATTTCCTCATGATTCTCTCTTCCCTTACCTAGCTTTATGGTTCTTCATAGCACTGAGCACCACCAGGCTGTGCATTTTGGAGTTTAAGTTTCATAAGGCCAGGGACTATGTTTTGTTTATAACTATCCCCCACTTCCTAGAACAGTGCCTGGTACACACAGGTGCTCAATAAATGTTTGTGGGATGATTAAATGAAAGTTGTTCCTGCACAGATTCCACCTGCCTAGAGCAAACCAGGACACGGATTGGGATGAGCACATAGCACATGCCAGACATGGCTCTGAGTGCTTTACCTGCATCATCTCACTTCATATGTGACAGCCAAATGGTCCCCAGTGACTTTCACCAACTGGTATTCATGCCTTCGTATAGTTCCCTCTGACCCTGAGCTGGGCTGAGCAGTGTAAATGATATTGTAAAATGAGAAAGTATGACTTTGAAGGTTAGGTCATAAAATACGTTATGGCTTCTGCCTTGCTCCTCTAGATCATGTGCTCTGGGGAGAGCTAAGCTGCATGTTGCGAGGACTTTCTATTACCCCTGTGGAAACGTACATGTGGTGAGGAACACAGGCATCCTACAAATAACCAGCACCACCCAGGTACATGAGAGAGCTTTCTAGAGTTGCTCTTCCAGCCCCTGTTAAGACTTCAGATGACTGCAGCCCCAGCCGACATCTTAACTATGACCTCATGAGAGGCCCTGAGCCAGAACCATCAATGTAGCTGCTCCCCAGTTCCTAACCCACAAAAACTGTGTGAGAGCATACATGTTTATTGTTGTTTTAAGCTAATTATTTGGGGAAATTTGCTACATATCAATAATTAATAACTTGTACAGATTCTCACAACAGCCTACATGGGAGGAGCCATCATAATCACCACTGTACAGAGAAAGAAACTGAGGCCCAGCTAGGGGGAATGTTTGTCCAGGGTCACACAGATAGTGAACTGTAACACTGAGATTGCCACACAAGTTTGAATGACTAGAGTCTACCCACTGAGGTGAAGGGTGTTCAAGTTGGATGCCAGTTTTTCCCCTCAAGGGCCAAGGCTGACACCACCAGAAAACCTGAAACAATATAGCTGCCTCCAATACAAATGCGTGCAGCAACTCGGGGCATCCAGCCAAAAACGTTCTAAAATTAGATTGTGGTGATGGGTGGTGCATACTACATCACCACATAACAATTCTGTAAATGTTACCAAAACTATTAAATTGTACATTTTAGGTGGGTGGATTTTATGGCATAAAAATTATATCTCAATAAAGGTGTTTATAAAAAGAGCAGCAGTTAAATTGACAGGTGATAATGTCTCAACAGCAACTATTTCCCAGCACTTTAGGAGGCCAAGTTGCACAGATCATCTGAGCCCAGGAGTTTGAAACCAGCCTGGGCAACATAACCAAACCGTGTCTCTACAAAAAAAAAAAAAAAAATTAGCCAGGTGTAGTGGCATGTGCTCACGGTCACAGCTACCCAGGAAGTTGAGCCCAGGAGTTGGAGGCTGCAGTGAGCTATGATCATGCTACTACCCTCCAGCCTGGGTGACAGAGCAAGACCCTGTCTCAACAAACAAACAAACAAAAAACAGTAATCATGGAAACTAAAAGAGAATTGAATGCCTTTTCAAGTCCTGAAATATCAGATATACTCAGCGAAAATGTCTATCAAGAATGAGGTTTCAGGCTGGGCACGGTGGCTTGTTCCTATAATCCCAGCACTTTGGGAAGCCAAGGATGGTGGATCACTTGAGGTCAGGAGTTTGAGACCAACCTTGCCAATATAGTGAAACCTCATCTCTACTAAAAATACAAAAATTAGCCGGGCGCGGTGGCTCACGCTTGTAATTCCAGCACTTTGGGAGGCCGAGGAGGGTGGATCACGAGCTCAAGAGATCGAGACCATCCTGGTCAACATGGTGAAACCCCGACTCTACTAAAAATACAAAAAATTAGCTGGGCATGGTGGCGCGTGCCGGTAATCCCAGCTACTCAGGAGGCTGAGGCAGGAGAATTGCCTGAACCCAGGAGGCGGAGGTTGCAGTGAGCCGAGATCGCGCCATTGCACTCCAGCCTGGGTAACAAGAGTGAAACTCCGTCTCAAAAAAAAAAAAATACAAAAATACAAAAATACAAAAATTAACCAGGCGTGGTGGTGGGCACCTGTATTAATTAATCCAGCTGCTGGTGGTGGGGGGTGGTGGTGGTGCTGAGGCAGAAGAATCACTCCAACTGGAGAGGTGGAGGTTGCAGTGAGCCAAGGTTGCATGCACCACTGCACTCCAGCCTGGGTGACAGGGTGAGACTCCATCTCAAAAAAAAAAAAAAAAAAAAAAAAAAAAAGAGGTTTCAAGCAAAAATTGAGCACATTTGTCACCAGACAACTATCCCTATGGAGAATTCTAAAATAGCAGTTCTGAAACTTGGCTTCTCATTGCAAACACCAGAGAACTTAACAAAAACTCCTGACACCTGGCTCCTATCCTCAGACATTCCGAATCAATTGATCTGAGATGTGGCTTAAGCAACAGTTTTTTTCCCCCCTTGGCAACGTCCTTTACAGAAGGCAAGCATCAAGATTTTTAAAAGCTTCCCCAGGCTTTGGTCAGGTGTAGTGGCTCATGCCTGTAATCCCAGCACTTTGGGAGGCCTAGGTGGGAGGATTGCCTGAGCTCAGGAGTTCGAGACCACCCTGGGCAACATGGTGAAATCCTGTCTCTACTAAAATACAAAAAATTAGCTGGCCATGGTGGCATGCACCTGTATTCCCAGCTAGTCGGGAGGCTGAGGCACAAGAATCGCTTGAGTCCTAGAGGCAGACATTGCAGTGAACCGACATTTTGCCACTGCACTCCAGCTTGGGCTACAGAAGAAAGCGTCCCCAGGCTATCCAAATGTACAAAATGTACAGCCAAGGTTGAGAAACATTGTCTAAAGGGATGTGTTTCAGGCAAAAGGAAAATTATCCCAGATGAAGGTCTGAGATTCATTCATTCACTCAACATAGGGAGCTTCCATTATGTGTTTGGAACTGTTCTAGATGAATACATCTTCGTGTATTCATCTCACAGCAGTGAGCAAAACAGACCAAAGTCCCTGCCCTTTAGGAGAGGAAAACAGACCCAAAACAAGATAAATAAGTAAAATATCCTCCGTTAGACAGTAATAGATGCTGAGAAGAAACAAATGAAGCCAGGAAGGCGGATGTGAAATGCTCGTTACGTGTGTGTCTGTGAAATTTCAGATGGAGTAACTAGGGAAGATTTTTGGGTAAAGACCAATATAAAGGGAAGGACCGAGCCATGCAGACGTTTGGGTTACAGCAGGTGCAAAGCCCTAAGGCAGGAGTGTGTCTGGCTTACTCCAGGACCAGCAGGCCAATAGGACTTGAGTGAGGCAAGGGCAGGGCAGTCAGCTACGGAGACAGAGGTCGGGAGGCAGTTTGCAAGCCCCGGTAAGGATCTCGGTTTTTGCTTTAAGTGAGATGAAAGTATATGAGTCGGAGAGTGGCATGAGTTTGATTTACATTTTAACTGGACTCAGCTGGGTGGAAATGAACAGTAGGGGCAAAAGGAGAAGCAAGGAGCCCCAGGAGGAGGCTGGTTCAGGACACCTGAGATGACTGAGCACTGATGGAGCTGGGGCGGGATGGGGCTGGAGGCGGTGAGGGATGAGATTCTCCAAGTGGAACCGGCAGGATCTGCTGATCGATGGGACGAGGAGTGGGAGAAAAATTAAAGCAGGGCAGGAGGCAAACGAATGCAAACTTCACCAATAGCTCAATGAAAAGACAGTAACCACTGAGAGGCAGCGTCGGACCTGGGGCCTGGATTCAAACCTCAGGTGAGTGGCCTTGGACAGGTCATCAACAAACAGAGGCTTCGTGTATTCATCTGCAAACTGAGCCAAGGACCGGGCCTGCCCCGCGGTGTGCCTGATGCTTGGGTGGGCAGGCGCCGGGCTCGCAGGGCACGCTCCTAACCAGTCCCCAGCGGCTCAACGCTGCGGGTCCCGCCGCCCTCATGCCCGGGCTCCAGCTCCCGCCCAAGGCCCCGCCCCAGCCCGGGCTCCGCCCACCCCGCCTCCCGGCCCCGCCCCCTCGGGCGGCACTGCAGCGCGACCGGCAGGGTGAGCCTGGGGGTGTCCGGGGATCGGCGGTCAGCTCCGGAGGACGGGGTGGGATCGCTCCGAACAGGAGCGCCGGGACCGCTGGGACCCTGCGCTCGGGCAGTGGGGGTCCCGGATGAGACGACAAGTTTTCCGGTCCCCCTCCCAGTCCCGCCCCACTTCCGGGGCCGCCACTTTCACTTTCTTTTCCGCCGAAGCCGTTCTCCTTGCGACGGACTGGGGCCTCCCGGGAGGAGAGGGCTTTGCCTTGAAACCCGGGACGCCAGGGGCGCTCCCGCAAGTGGGGGTCCTCCGGGACGTGGAGCGCCCCCGCTGGGCGGCGCCCGGGCGTCCTTTCCCCGCGTCTCCCTACCTCTTGCGCCCCGGACTTGTTCCTCTTGCGCCCATTGCGGACTTGTCTGGGCATCCCCTGCCCTCTCACCGCCCCACGCGGGGTCCCCGCCTGGTCCCCGGGCAGGTGTGATGCTTCCCGACTGCCGCGGGTACTACGAGGCACAGACAGGGCTTGGGCCGCGCCGGAGGCCACAAGGCCTGGCTGAGTTGCTCCTGGTGTCCCACCCCTAGCAGGCGACCCGGAGGTAGCGTTTCCCAGGAGCCACGGCCCCCGCCCCCCCAGGGGGATGGGCGCAGCCACGACAGATGGACGAGAAGACCAAGAAAGGTGGGCACAGGTCGGAGGTGACTGGGGAACGTCCAGTGGGAAGTGGGCCCCGCAGGACCTGGCCCTTCCTGCCCAGAAGGGCCTGAGAGAGGGGGCTTTAGCCTGCCCTCCCTCTGCCCCCCTCCCCATCAGCTTCCTCCTTTGGGACCTGCTGGCTTCCAGAGGCATCTTGGAGCCCTGAGACCTCCTTGGGTCAGGTCTGTGCTGAGATGGTGCTAGGGGACTCCCAGAGGACACAGGGCATCGAACTTGGAGACTTCCTGGGCTGGTGGGAGACAGAACTCAGTCAATCTGAGTAGCAAGGGTCCTTGCCTCTTCTCTTTCCCCCTGCACCTAGGGTTGTAGAACAGAGGTCAGTCCCTGCCTTGCTGGAAGCCCTCCCATTTCCCTCTGTGTTCTTAGAACAAAGCCCAGAGCGCCTGGGTGGCCCACAGGACAGCTCTCCTCAGTCACCCCGCTATGCTCACTCTAGTGGAGCCCCACTGGCTTCCTTCGGTTCTCATCCAACCATTTCTTGCCCAAGGCCCTTACTCTTTTTTCCACTTACTCTTCCCCACTGGGACTTGACATGTGCGACTTCTCCTCCTTCAGGTCTCAGCTTCAGTGTTACCCCCTCCCAGAGGCCTTCCCTGGTCTCCTTAACCTGTTTATTTCCCTGCCAGCAAGGATCACAATCTGACATTTTTTTTTTCTTGTTTAACTTGTTTTTTGTCTCCCCACTGGGCAGGGAGATCCCTAAGGAGTGGGACCCTGTTTATCTGAATCACTGTGGGATCCCAGTTCCTGGGACAGTGGGTGGCACACAGTAGGAGCTCAATAACTGCTTGCTGGATAAATGAATAGAAGTATGAGGGACCCTGGGAATATGAAGGACAAACAGAACCAAATGAGCCTAGAGTGAGGAGGAGTGGGGAATATCAGAGAACCTCTCCCAGAGAAAGGGACTTTAAGTCACTGAAGGATGTGTAGGAGTTTACCAGGAAGACACAGAAAGCAGCACAAAGATCATCTCCTTTCCTGCCCCATTAACCCCAGCTCCTGAAAATAAACCTGTGCTTAATTGGCTCCTGCTGTGCTGGCTTTTAGCAGAGGAGATGGCCCTGAGCCTCACCCGAGCGGTGGCGGGCGGGGACGAACAGGTGGCAATGAAGTGTGCCATCTGGCTGGCAGAGCAACGGGTGCCCCTGAGTGTGCAACTGAAGCCTGAGGCCTCCCCGACGCAGGACATCAGGTGAGGAGTGCACGGCTGGCCTGAACCCTAGGGGCAGCAGGACAGGACATTCTTGCCTGTAGAACAGTTCTTCCTAATGGCAGGTGCTGGCACCAGGAGGGGTGGCTTCTAATCCTAGTTATGTCACTAATCGACTGTGAGATAGAGGGCAGGTCACTTCACCTCTTGGAGTGTCCTCATTTTAAAAATTGGATTGTAACAGTAGCTATCTCATAGGGTTGTTAGGAGATACACCATATTAGGATGTTAGGCCTTATACAACAGAAAAAAAGGTAACAGTGATGTAAAGAAATTCGATGTCAGAGAGTCCAGATGGGAAGGTTCTGCTCCCCACAATCCTGAGGCTCATGTTCCTTCTCTCACTATTCTGCCATTAATTCCCAGATTCCTCAGGTGCGAAATGGCCATTCCAGCTGCATGCAGTCATCACATCAGGAGGAAGGGAAGAAAGGCACCCCTCCATACTCCTCTAAAGAACATAGCTCAAGGCCGGGCGCGGTGGCTCAAGCCTGTAATCCCAGCACTTTGGGAGGCCGAGGCGGGTGGATCACGAGGTCGAGAGATCGAGACCATCCTGGTCAACATGTGAAACCCCATCTCTACTAAAAATACAAGAAAACTAGCTGGGCGTGGTGGCGCGTGCCTGTAATCCCAGCTACTTAGGAGGCTGAGGCAGGAGAATTGCCTGAGCCCAGGAGGCGGAGGTTGCGGTGAGCCGAGATCGCGCCATTGCACTCCAGCCTGGGTAACAAGAGCGAAACTCCATCTCAAAAAAAAAAAAAAAAAAAAAAAAAAAAGAACATAGCTCAAAAGTTGTACACACTTATTCCATTAATTCCTATGGACCAGAACTGATTCCCACAGCTATGGTTCAGCTTCAGGGGATTCTGTATAGCCAGATATTCATCTAGAATTCAGGGGTTCTCTTGGTAAGAGAAGGAAGGAGAATGAATACTGTCAGTCTCTGCTCCAGGAGACTTAAAGTCAATGCTGAAACACTTTGCACAATGCCTGGCATGTGTTATGCACTCAATAAACGTTAGTGTGGTCTATGGTTCTTTTTTGACTGCTTTTTTATTACTGGATAGTAAAGCAATAGTTTTACAGTTTCTGATTTTCAGTTCTCTTAGTGGGTCCCCTTTGATTTTTCTTAAAACAGTTTATCCATACAATTCAGCCATTTGAAGTATACAGTTCAATGGCTTTTAGTATATTCAGGGTTGTGCAACGATTGCCACAATCAATTTTAGAACCTGAGTTTCGAGAGGCTCTGGGCAATCAGCATCTCTCAGACCTGCTGTTGAGTTCTCATTGATGGACCCAATGCTTCCTAGTAAATGATACCTATTGTATGTGTTATTGTTAATAAGATAGTTTAGTTAGCTATTACATTAATCAATAAAATATGAGTGCTGAAAGAGTTGTTTCTATGAAAAGTAAGCTGACTGCTTTCAAAAGACGAGACAAATCACCAAAAAAAAAAAAAAAAAAAAAAAAAAAAAAAAAAAAAAAAGATTAACACTTTTGGGTGAGACAGTAGTAAGGAAATACCATAAAAATCCAGAAGCCTCTGTGCTCTTTAAAGAAGCTGGTACTAGAAATTATAGATCATGATTATGGATGTGGTTCATGCAAAAAAAAAGAAAAATACATGGGAAACTCCAGTCAGCAGATGTATACTCATGCTGGGCATGGTGGCTCAGCGCTTTGGGAGGCTGAGGCAGGATAATGGCTTGAACTGAGGAGTTTAAGACCAGCCTGGGAAACATAAATTAGCCAGGTTGGGTGGTGCACACCTGTTGTCCCAGCTACTTGAGAGGCTGAGGCCAGAGGATTATTAGACTCCAGGTGGTCAAGGTTGCAGTGAGCCATGATCATGAGTGACAAAGAGAGAGAGAGAAAAGCCATTGGCTGTGCATCTAGAGGACTGTCCAGCGAATGTGCATGTGTAGCATGTAAGTTAAAATTAAGTGTGTAAGCTTTGTCCGCAGCTGTTTTTGTGCTTCTCTGCTGTTGACCAGTGATCCTGATGTGACACTGGATGAGAGTGCCCCAGCTGTACTTTTGTGTTGATTAAGATTATAGCTTTTAAATTTTGCTTTCTAACATAATTAAGACTTCTATGCTTTGCCTCTAGGTTGATTCTAAAAGTGTAACACTACTAGAAAGGATTTATAGTATTTTGATTATGGAAATATTATTCACTATAGAATAACTAGTGCATTCGAAACCATATGTACTTTTGTTTCAAAACCCTTATGGCTGGAAGAACATTTTGGGGTTAAGATCCAGTCCTTTTCATTTTTTACTTTTCTTCTGTTCTCCTGTATCAGACTCATCTATTTTTGTTTTTCAAGCACTTTTCATGTGCAAAATGTAGTAAACTTTGAGAGTCTTTGCATGTTTAAAAATTTCTATATTTTGCTCTCTCAATTCATTGATAGTTGACTGGGTATCCAAATTGTTTACTTGAAGAATTTTAAGAGTTTTCTGGACTGCTTTTAAACAAATCTCAGATATTATTTTATCCTTAAATACTTTGATATGTGTCTTCAAAAACTTAGGACTTGGCCAGGCACAGCAGCTCATGCTTGTAATTCAAGCACTTTGGGAGACTGAGGCAGGTGGATTGCTTGAACTCACCACAGTGAGGGTGGCACCAGGCTGTGAGGGAGCCGCCCCTGTGACCCAAACACCGCTCACCAGGCCTTACCTTCAACACTGAGGACTACAGTTCAATATAAGATTTGGGCAGGGACAAATACCCAAACTGTATCATGATGTCGTTTACTATCTCCCATTGTTCCTGTAACTGGTAGAGATGAAGTTTAGCGATAAAGGTTCAGTTAGCATCACTTTTAATGTCCAGGGGCGACTTCCTCAATTTTTGGTTGCGTCGTGCCTTTTCTTGCTTTCTGCATGCAGTGTTTTCCCAAATCTCTCCGAAGGCACTAGTTAGACGAATGTTGCTTATTATTCCGTACCTTAAATGATCTCTGTTTCCCTTGGGGTCACTTCTGTTTTTTCATCTTTTCATGGTTTTGGTTTTCCAAAAATGTTGGAGGATCCTTGAGAAAGTTAAAACCATTTTCTCTGGAACAATACCACATGGATTTAAATCCTGCCTCTGGCTGAACACAGTGGCTTACTCCTGGAATCCCACTTTGGGAGGCCAAGGCAGGAGGATCACTTGAGGCCAAGAGTTCAAGACCAGCTTTGGCAACATAGTGAGACCCTGTCTCTACAGAAACTTAAAAAATTAGCCAGGCATGGTGGCATGAGCCTGTGGTCCCAGCTGCTTGGGAGGCTAAGATGAGAAGATCCCTGAATCCAAGAGGTTGAAGCTGCAGTGAGCCAAGATAACACTACTGCACTCCAGCCTGAGCCACAGAAAGAGAGCCTATGTCTTAAAAATAAATCAATATGGCCAGGTGCAGTGGCTCACACCTGTAATCCCAGGTCTTTGGGAGGCTGAGGTGGGCAGATCATGAGCTCAGGAGTTTGAGACCAGCCTGACCAACATAGTGAAACCTCGTCTCTACTAAAAATACAAAAATTAGCCAGCCGTGGTGGCATGTGCTTGTAGTCCCAGATACTCAGGAGGCTGAGACAGGAGAATTGCTTGAATCCAGGAACTGGAGGTTGCAGTGAGATTGCACTACTGCGCTCCATCCAGCCTGGCAACAGAAGGAGACTCCATCTCAAAATAAATGAATACATACATACCTAGAAGTGAATCTTGCCTCTAACAGTTGTTAGTTGCTTAGTTTGGCAGAGTCACTGTAACCTATCTAACCCTCACATTTTTATCTGTAAAACAGGGATGCAGCAGTACCTGCCTGATGGGTTTGTTGAGAGGGTTAAATGAGCTAATACACATTCAGTGCATTGAATAGTCTTAGCACATAGTAAACAACAAGTTTTGGTGGTTTGACTAAGGAGCAGGGGAGAGAAGATAGAAGAGGTTGCCAGATCATGGAGGCCCTTCTGTGCTGCCATGAGTTGATTCTAAGAGTAGTGTGGAGCCGTTGGAGAGGCCTAACTGGTGGATTCTAATAAGGGAGGATGCATGGGGATAGGGCCCCTACCCCAGACTGGGGGTTGTGTGCGTATATGTGTACATGGCCATGTGCCTGTGTGCAAATATGTGCATGTCTGTAGCCAGTGGCTGAGGATGGACCCCTGGCCAGAGCCCATGCCGAGTCCCTGCTGTTCTTCGCAGGCTGTGGGTGAGTGTGGAGGATGCTCAGTTGCACGCTGTCACCATCTGGCTCACGGTGCGCCCCGATATGACAGTGGCATCCCTCAAGGACATGGTGAGTGAGGAGGCTGAGGGTGACACAGGGTGGAAGCTCTCTCTTTTGCTCCTGCTTCCTCTCTGTCCTCTGGCCCTCCCTTCCCACACTCCCTCTCTTGGTGCCACCACCAGGTTTTTCTGGACTATGGCTTCCCACCAGTTCTGCAGCAGTGGGTGATTGGGCAGCGGTTGGCACGAGACCAGGAGACCCTGCACTCCCATGGGGTGCGGCAGAATGGGGACAGTGCCTACCTCTATCTGCTGTCAGCTCGAAACACCTCCCTCAACCCTCAGGAGCTGCAGCGGGAGCGGCAATTGCGGATGCTGGAAGGTGAGGCTCTGCCCCTGAGCACCGTGGAACCCAGCGGGGGCCTGGGCTCACTTGAGGGCGGAGGGCAAGCAGGGGTAGAGCCCCTGGGTTTTTAGTCAGGGGCTCACCCAGAGGACCCTATCCAAATGGGGAAGAGGACGTAAGACACACGGGAGGGAGCATTTCAGGGACCCATCATGAGAACAGCTGGCATGGGGAGGGCCAGATTCTGTCCAGGCTCTGGCATTCCCAGCTACGTGACCCTGGGCAAGGTTACTCCTATCTGCTGCCCAGTTTGCTAAAATCATAAATTGGGTATGAGGAGGATAATGATAACTAGTGTTTATTCTTAATTTTTAACTTCTGAAATGTTTCAGACCTACAGAAAAGTCACCAAATTTTACAAAGTGGTGTGTAAAGAATTCCCGTGTACCTTTCATGTGGATTTTTACCACATTGCTTTCTTCTGCCTCAGCCTCTTGAGTAGTGGATTAAAGTGGGACTACAGGCATGCGCCACCACACCTGGTTAATTTTTTGTAACTACTAGAGATGGGGTTTCACCATGTTGGTCAGGCTGGTCTGGAACACCTGACCTAAAGTGATCCACCCACCTTGGCCTCCCAAAGTGCTGGGATTATAGGCGTGAGCCACCACACCCAGCCTTATCATCTCTTTCTGTATAAAATTATTTTATTTTCTGAACCACTTTGAGAGTAAGTTGCAGATATGACATCTTTTCCCCTAAATAATTCAGTATGCATTTCCTTGAAAAGAAAGGTCATTTTCTTAAATTACTATGTAGAACATCCAACTCAGGAAACTAACATTGATACAGTACTGTTACCTAATCTACAGATCTTACTCAGGTTTTACTAGTTGTCCCACTATTGTAATTTATAGCAAAAGACCTGGCATTCAGCTGTCATGTCCGAGCCCCTTTCAAAGAGTCCAAGCCAGTTTCTTTTTTTGCGGGGGTTGGGAGCTAGTGTTTCCTCTAGGATGGATGGAGTGGGCAGGGCCGCTTCAGTGGCGCTCTTGGGTCCCCTTGGCGCACCTTCCGGAGGCACAGAAGGTCGGGTGTTATGCTGGATTTCGAAGCTCAGAGGACATGGAAGCATTTGTGGGTGGAATAGGGGCCCTGACCTTGGGGGAGCCAGGATGCCCACTTGACCAGATGGAGGCTGGAGATACCCCCAGGGAGGAGAGGATAGGGGAGGGGTCTGCCTGGCTGGCTCAGGGAGACCCACCCCCTATGAGTGTGGACCAAGTGGGCCGCATGGAACCACCACCCTTTAATTCTCCTCCACAGATCTGGGCTTCAAGGACCTCACGCTGCAGCCTCGGGGCCCTCTGGAGCCAGGCACCCCAAAGCCTGGGGTCCCTCAGGAACCTGGACGGGGGCAGCCAGATGCAGTGCCCGAGCCCCCACCGGTAAGCTGTCCGTGGCCACACCTCCCTGGCCTCAGTATCCTCTTCTGTGCCTCTCCCCTGCCCTACCCTGCCCAATCTGGCTCACAGCCTCCTCCACTCCCAGGTGGGCTGGCAGTGCCCCGGGTGCACCTTCATCAACAAGCCCACGCGGCCTGGCTGTGAGATGTGCTGCCGGGCACGCCCTGAGGCCTACCAGGTCCCTGCCTCCTACCAGCCCGATGAGGAAGAACGAGCACGCCTGGCTGGTGAGGAGGAGTCACTGCGTCAGTACCAGCAGGTGAGCGAGAAGTCCCTGGACAGACACCTGCAGACCGGATGGGGGAGGTGTAGGCCAGGAAGGGAGACACCCTCGCATTGCCGCTCCTTCCCGTTACTGCCTTGCCCCTCCTGACCATGCTGCTGGCAGTGACCCTGCACTTGCCTGTGATCTGCTGTCTCTCCAAGGTCACCCTGTCACCCTGTGGCTGAGACCCGCTCCCTGGCTGTGACGCACATCCAAGTTCACATACTCCACTCCCGTGTGGGCTGTGGCTCCATCCCCAGCTTTGACATACCACACAAGTGTCCCTGACTATGACCCTAGCACCCTAGCCATGACTACACCTCAGCTTGGACCTCACCCCCACCTGTCTGTGACCTAAGCCTGCTCCACCTCGCAGCGACCTCACCCTGGACGCTACTACTCCCGACCTCCTCCCTCTGTGGCTTGGCCCAACCCTGACTTCCCGAGAGCCTGGCCTGGCACCTGACTGCTTCCTAGGGGGATGACCGCCATCCCTGCTCCTGCTCCTGTCTTAGCCCTCCCCCGCCCCCATCGTGACACACGCCCTAATGACACAGATACCTGATCCCAAGACCTCCCCATTCTAATCTTACCCCTGGCCCCACTTGCGTTCCCCTTGGACCCAGTGCTGCCCCTGCCCACCCCACTCCTGTTCCCGTCTCAGGCTCGCTCTGCTCCCTGGCTTTGTCACTTTCCCACCCCTGCCCTTGAGCTGGCTCCACCAGCCCTGGCCCCGACCCTGCCCTGTTATCCTGACTCACCACTCAGACCCTGGCCCCCTTCCTTTCTCTGCTGCCATTGTTCCCTCTCCGGGCGCCTTCCCTCGCTTCCTGGCCGCTACCTGGCCGGCCTTCCCTCCTTTGGCTTCCCCACCTCCGCCTGGCTCCGCTCCCAGCCATGCCCCTCCCAACCTGACTGCTCCTGCCTACCCTATCCCCGATCCCCCCCCGTCCGACTGGCTCCCAGCTTTGCCTCCTGCTAGTCTGTCCCAGCCCTCACCACGCCCCTGATCCTTCCCCCTTCGTGGTGGTCTGACCCGCCCCCGAGACCCTGACCCACCCCATGGCCCCGCCCCGTGTGCCCAGCGGAAGCAGAAGCAGCAGGAGGGGAACTACCTGCAGCACGTCCAGCTGGACCAGAGGAGCCTGGTGCTGAACACCGAGCCCGCCGAGTGCCCCGTGTGCTACTCGGTGCTGGCGCCCGGCGAGGCCGTGGTGCTGCGTGAGTGTCTGCACACCTTCTGCAGGTGCGGCCCCCAATCCCATCCCCGGCAATGCTGCGTTTATCAAAGCCGCCAATTACGCAGGGCTGGACGTGGGTGGGGCCCTGTGCTCTGATATCTCATTGGATGCCTGCGAAAACCTACGAGGTAGGCTCTGGCTCCCCATTTTGCAGATGAGGAACCTAAGGTGCAGAGAGCCAGGCAGCTTACCCAAGGCCACATGGCTCATAAGAGAAGCAGCCTAGACATGGACCCAGGCATGGGAGCAAGCACCGGAGCCTCCCTTCCCCTCTACCTTTAACGGCGGAGGCTCCTGCAGCCACGCTGCTCTCAACCTCGCGGCGGGCATCTGCCTGTTTTGAGTCTCCTGTCATGGCCCTTCCACCCCCGGATGTGGGGAGCACAGACCCACTCACCACAGCTGACCCTTGTGGAGCAGCCCCTGGGTGGCAGGCTCCGTGCCTGCCTTCTGCAACTTTAATTCCAGCAGGGAGGCCGATGTAAATTGGATAATCACTGGTTGATGTCCTTGTGAATATTGTCTACATACAGTACATGAAATTGCTACATACAGTACATTAAGATACAACAGGAGTCCTTCCCAGAGAGGGTGGTCTAGAAGCTTCCAGGGAGGTAGCTCCAGAGCAGGGACTGGAAGGCCTGCTGTAGGTGTGAGCCTGGACTGTTGGAGGAGACTGAGGAGGTCTCTTGGTGGCTGGAGCAGAGGGATGAAGTAGGTCATCAGAGAGCAGGGTAGAGAGGTGTTGGGTCCATGAACAGTTGGGATTTGTTCCGGGTGGGATGGGGGCCACCAGGGAGACGTGGCTGCTGTTCTGAGATAGACTTTAGGGGCCAGATGGATGCAGGGAGCCCAGCAGGGAGGCTCCTGCAGTCTCCAGTTGAGGATGATGGGGCCTGGACCGGAGAAGCAGAGCGGCAGTGTGGGGACAGGGTGGAGGCCTTGGTGGGATTGGTAAGAGGGATGGGAAGGAAGGGGATATTGAGGAGAAGCCCACCTGGGGTGACAGAGGCCCCTGGGGTCAGGCCTTGCCATGTGAGGGGTGGAGTCCCCAGTGGGTGTGGTTCCGATGACCCTCACTCTCCTCGCCTCCCCTTCCCCAGGGAATGCCTGCAGGGCACCATCCGCAACAGCCAGGAGGCGGAGGTCTCCTGCCCCTTCATTGACAACACCTACTCGTGCTCGGGCAAGCTGCTGGAGAGGGAGATCAAGGCGGTAAGGCCCGGGGATGGGAGATATACCCCAAATACCAAGGAGCTGAGCCCCAAGCAGGCAGGTAGGGACTGGCTTAGGCAGCAGACATCTTAACTTTTTTTTTTTTTGGAGATGGGGTCTATTGTCCAAGACGGTCTCAAATTCCTGGGCTTACGTGATCATCCAACCTCCGCCCTCCAGACATTTTTCAAGGGCTTTGTCCGTGTAGGGTACTGAGACCCCAAGTAGAAAAAGAATTGAGGGGAGTAGTCAAGAAGCCACATTTATGAAGGAAAGACACCAAAGTCGTTAAGAGTCGGGGACTCGGCCGGGCGCGGTGGCTCAAGCTTGTAATCCCAGCACTTTGGGAGGCCGAGGCGGGTGGATCACAAGGTAGAGAGATCGAGACCATCCTGGTCAACTTGGTGAAACCCCGTCTCTACTAAAAATACAAAAAATTAGCTGGGCATGGTGGCGTGTGCCTGTAATCCCAGCTACTCAGGAGGCTGAGGCAGGAGAATTGCCTGAACCCAGGAGGCGGAGGTTGCGGTGAGCCGAGATCGCGCCATTGCACTCCAGCCTGGGTAACAAGAGCGAAACTCCGTCTCAAAAAAAAAAAAAAAAAAAAAAAGAGTCGGGGACTTGGCCAGGCATGGCAGCTCACGCAGACTAGCCTGGGCAACATGGCAAAACCCTGTCTCTCCAAAACAGATTTAAAAATAGCTGGGTGCGGAGGCATGCTGCCTGTAGTCCCAGCTACTTGGGCAGGGGTCGAGGGGGAATGGGCTAAGATGGGAGGATCGCTTGAGCCTGGGAGGTCAAGCCTGCGGTGAGCTGTGGTTGCGCCACTGCACTCTACCTGGGCAACAGAGTGAGACCTTGCCTCAAAAAAAGAAAAAAAAAAGGGAACTCTGGAGCCTGGTGGCCTGGGTGTGTGACAAGTCAGATGTTTAACCTCTCTATGCCTCTATCTCATCTCTCTTAGAGTCAGAATTATAGTTTCTATTTCCAGGATTACAAAGATTACAGTAGAGGATATGCGTATAGAATTTAGAGTAGTGTGGCCGGGCGCAGTGGCTCGCCCCTGTAATTCCAGCACTTCGGGAGGCCAAGATGGGTGGATCACCTGAGGTCGGAAGTTTGAGGCCAGCCTGACCAACATGGAGAAACCCATCTCTACTGAAAATACAAAATTAGCTGGGTGTGGTGGCGCATGCCTGTAACGCCAGGTACTCAGGAGGCTGAGGCAGGAGAGTCACTTGAACCTGGGAGGCAGAGGTTGCAGTGAGCCGAGATCGTGCCATTGCACTCCAGCCTGGGCAACAAGAGCAAAACTCCGTCTCAAAAAAGAAGAAGAATTTAGACTAGTGCTTGTCACGTGGTAAGCCTTTGTTGCTGTTAGCACTTGCTGTGTAACAAATCACTGCAGGCTCAAAACAACAGTCATTTATTTAGCTCATCAATCTGCAGGTTAGGACAGTCGGCCCTCTATCTGTGGAGAATTCACATTGGAGAATTCAACGACAGTGGATAGAACATATTCTTTAAAAAAAAAAAATTACAATAAAAAACATTTAAAAAACAATATAGCATAAACTACATAACATGTTATATTAGGTATTATAAGTAATCTAGAGATGATTTAAAGTATTGGAGGATGTTGGTAGGTTATATGCAAATACTATGTCATTTTATATAAGGAGCTTGAGCATCCATGGATCTGTAGGGATCTTGGAACCAGTTCTCTCGGGATACTGAGGGATGACTCTAATTTGGGTTGGGCTTATCTAGATGGTTCTTCTGGTCTGGGCAGGGCCTCGCTGATTTTACCTGGGTCTAGCTGGTGAGTGGCCTGGTTTATGACGGTCTCATCTGTGATGAGGGGGATGATGGGGCCTCCTTCCACTTCAGGGTCTCATCTACCAGCAGGCTGCCCCAGGCCTTCTCATGTCTTGGTGGTCTCGGGCTTCCAAGAGCAGCCATGGGGAGCCCCAGCGCACGAGTGCTTTCTAAGTCTGCTCATTTCTCACTTGCCACTGTCCCATTGGCCAAAGGAAGTCCTATGCTCAAGCCCAGAGTTCATTGGGAAGAGACTACCCAAAGGTGTGGAATCAGGGAGACAGAAACAAATGGGAGTCACCACTCCGTCAGTCTGTCACAGCATGTGTGTTTCTGCGTACATGTGTGCTTGCCGCTGGCACTCGTCGTGAATTCATTAGCAGGTTTTCTGTCTGGCTGCTAGTGATCTTGAGCAAGTTGTTTCCCTTCTCTGGGTCTCCATTTCCCCATCTGTTTTTTTTTTTTTTTTTTTTGAGATGGAATTTCGCTCTTGTTACCCAGGCTGGAGTGCAATGGCGCGATCTCGGCTCACTGCAACCTCCGCCTCCTGGGTTCAGGCAATTCTCCTGCCTCAGCCTCCTGAGTAGCTGGGATTACAGGCACGCAGTCACCATGCCCAGCTGATTTTTTGTATTTTTAGTAGAGACGGGGTTTCACCATGTTGACCAGGATGGTCTCGATCTCTCGACCTCGTGATCCACCCACCTCGGCTTCCCAAAGTGCTGGGATTACAGGCTTGAGCCACTGCACCCGGCCCATAGTTTTTTTTTTTTTTTTTTTTTTTTTTTTTTTTTTTTTTAAGACGGGGTCTCACTCTGATGCCCAGGCTAAAGCGCAACAGCACAGTCTCAATTCACTGCAACTTCCACCTCCCAGGTTTAAGCAGTTTTCCTGCCTCAGCCTCCCAAGTAGCTGGGATTACAGGCACTTGCTACTGTGCCTGGCTAATTTTTTGTGTTTTTAGTAGAGACAGGGTTTTACCATGTTGGTCAGGCTGGTCTCGAACTCCTAACCTTGTGATCTGCATGCCTCAGCCTTCCAAAGTGCCTGGGATTACAGGCGTGAGCCACCACACCCAGCCCCATTTCCCCATCTGAAAAGTGGACAGTTGGGCTTGATTCATGGTTTTTAAACTGCTGGGGAATGGCCTTCCCTGGGCATTGTGGGTCCCCACGCCAAAACATGGCGGCTGAAGTCCAAATGGGAAACCCCAGCAAAACACATACACAAGACCTCCTCTTTATTCCCATCCCCCTGCCTCTCTCCTATGCCCCTGTTTCTCCTGAGAATGCTCCTAACTTCACCAAGGTCTTACTCTATTTTTTTGTACCCATTTACCATCCCCACTTCTCTCCCATGCCTCACTACCCTTCCCAGCCTGTGGTAACCATCCTTTTACTTTGTCTCCATTAGTTCAGTTGTTTTGATTTTTAGCACCTGCAGATAAGTGAGAACATGCGACGTTTGTCTGTTCCTGGCTTATTCCATTTAACATAATGACCTCCAGTTCCTCCATGTTGCTGTAAATGACAGGATTGCATTCTTTTATATAACTGAATAGTACTCCATTGTGTATATGTACCCCATTTTCTTTACAAAATACTGGTTGAATCACATGTTTCCCAACATTGCTTTTTACTTTTGTCCTTTTCTTGTGAGAAAATAGACAAAATTTACCATTTTAACCTTTTTTTTTGGGGATTCAGAGTTTCCCTCTTGTTGCCCAGGCTGGAGTGCAGGGGCGTGATCTCAGTTCACCATAACCTCCACCTCCTGGGTTCAAGTGATTCTCCTGCCTCAGCCTCCTGAGTAGCTGGGATTACAGGCATGTGCCACCACGCCTGGCTAATTTTGTATTTTTTGTAGAGATGGGGTTTGTCCAAGTTAGTCAGGCTGGACTTGAACTCCTGACCTCAGGTGATCCAACCACCTTGGCCTCCCGAAGTGCTGAAATTATGGGCGTAAGCCATTGCGCCTGGCCCCATTTTAACCAGTTTTTAAGCGTAGAGTTCAGTGGCATTAAGTATATTTATACTGTTGTGCAGCCATCACCACATTACCCCATCCACCTCCAGAACATTTCAAAATTACCCCCACTCTCTTTTTTCTTTTTCTTTTCTTTTCTGTTTTTGAGCTAGGTTTTCATTCTGTCCCCCAGGCTGGAGTGTGGTTCATCAGTCGTGCCTCACTGCAGCCTTGACCTTCTGGGCCCAAGCAATCCCCACAACTCAGCCTCCCAAGTAGCTGCTAGGACTACACATGTGAGCACCACACCTGGTTTTGTGTGTGTGTGTGTGTTTTGTTTTGTTTTGTTTTGTTTTGTTTTTTAGAGATGAGGTCTCACTGTATTGCTCAGGCTGGTCTTAAAGTCTTGGCCTCAAGGAATCCTCCTGCCTCACCTCCCAAAGTGCTGGGATTACAGGTGTAAGCCACCACACCTGACCTAAAATCCACTTTTTGAATGGAGTTTTTCTTTTTTTTTCTTTTTGAGACGGAGTTTCGCTCTTGTTACCCAGGCTGGAGTGCAATGGCGCGATCTCGGCTCACCGCAACCTCCGCCTCCTGGGTTCAGGCAATTCTCCTGCCTCAGCCTCCTGAGTAGCTGGGATTACAGGCACGTGCCACCACGCCCAGCTAATTTTTTGTATTTTTAGTAGAGACGGGGTTTCACCATGTTGACCAGGTTGGTCTCGATCTCTCGACCTTGTGATCCACCCGTCTCGGCCTCCCAAAGTGCTGGGATTACAGGCTTGAGCCACCGCGCCCGGCTTGAGTGGAGTTTTTCAACACCATGAGGATTACATGAAGAAAAGAGCCTGGGCCTAGATTGGAGTTTAGGGTTTGGGGGCTTTCTAGAGAGTATTTGGTGGCCAAGGGGATCATATGTCAGGTGTTCTGAACCCCGATCAACAAGGACATGGTCTGTTGGCAGCTCCTGACCCCCGAGGATTACCAGCGATTTCTAGACCTGGGCATCTCCATTGCTGAAAACCGCAGCGCCTTCAGCTACCATTGCAAGACCCCAGATTGTAAGGGATGGTGCTTCTTTGAGGATGACGTCAATGAGTTCACCTGCCCTGTGTGTTTTCATGTCAACTGCCTGCTCTGCAAGGTGGGGCCAGGGTCTCACCCCGCCTGGTCAGTCATCCTGCTGGAGCTCACCACAGGGCAGTGCTTGTTCTCCTGGGAAGGGAGCTGTGACACTGGCCTGCTAGTCATGATTTGGAGCTGCACGTCAGTGGGAGAGTGGCTTGAGCCTGAACCGAGCCTTGGTCCCACAGAGGGAGTCCCAGACCTGGCCCCAGATGGAGCCTCAAACCTAGGGAGCCCTGGTCCACAATGGAGCTCTGCCCCTGGACCAAATCCTGTCCCTGGGCTGAGCCTATGTCTGACCCGAGTCACAGACTGAATCCCAGTCCCACATTGAGCCCCGACCCCATCCAAGTCCACAGACCTGGCCTCTGACCAAACGTGACTCTGCACTTGTCACTTAAGCTGGTCCCACATTCAGCCCAGACTCTGAACCAAGCTCTGACCGAACCTGTCTGTCACAGCCCACACCCTGACCCTGGCCCTATACCACATCTCCACCCCTGTCCTGAACTGAGTGCTGACCTCAAACCCAGACAGCCTTACCTGACCCTTCCCCCAGGCCTGTCTCTGTCCCTTCATCTCAAAAGCTGACCACGAAGGTGAGGAGCTGGTAAACACAACTGGAACTTGGACCTGTAACCCGGGCAGGGCCTAGGCAGGGATGTGGGGTCTCACCCTAGAGGTGTAAGGGCTTTCCGTGCCCATCAGAACTTAAATAGGCTGGGTGTGGCAGCATGTGCCAGTGGTCCCAGCGACCCAGGAGGCTGAGGTATCTATTGCTGGCAGCATACGTGATGACCCTGACTTCACCTCGCTGGCCCCAGTGTCCTCTTTCGTAAATTGGGTGTCTGCTTTACAAAGTGAGGCCCTGCCAGTGACTACACCTAGAGGCATTAAGTGCCTTTGTGGACTCCTGCCCTGCCCCTCACCTCTTCCAGCTTGTTAACCCTGGAGGAACTGTCTCACCTTCAGCCCCTCACCCTCTGCAGGCCATTCACGAGCAGATGAACTGCAAGGAATATCAGGAGGACCTGGCCCTGCGGGCTCAGAACGACGTGGCTGCCCTGCAGACGACAGAGATGCTGAAGGTGAGGCTGTGACAGGCCTAGGGATTTAAGTTCTGGGATCCAGGTGGGGGCCGGGGGCTTCTCAGCAAGGGCTGTGTTCACGTCGTTGGAGGTTCTGACCTCCCTTCTGGCTGTCATTCCCATCCAGAGATGGGACTTGGGCCGAGTGGTCAGGTCAGGGAAGAGTGTCTGGGCGGAGGGAGGTGACCACAGGAATGAAGAGGGGGCCAGGCTCTGTCCAGTGGAGCCGCACAGAAGAGACTTCACAGCTCCAGGGGGTCACCACCTTCTCCCTGCCGTGGGGAGGGGGCCCGGCTGGGTGGCTGCCCCAGCCCCACCCCGAGGCCAGCACCTGCCCCGCTCCAGGTGATGCTGCAGCAGGGCGAGGCCATGCGCTGCCCCCAGTGCCAGATCGTGGTGCAGAAGAAGGATGGCTGCGACTGGATCCGCTGCACTGTCTGCCACACTGAGATCTGCTGGGTCACCAAGGGCCCACGCTGGGGCCCCGGGGTGAGTCTCACTTGTACTAGTGTGGAGATGGTGCCCTTGTGGGGTTTGTCTCAAGGGCTTGGAAAACTACAGCCCATGGGCCATATCCAACCCAGCACCTGAATTTGTACAGCTCCTGAGGTAAGAATGTTCTTTTTTTTTGAGATGGAGTTTTGCTCTTGTTGCCCAGGCTGGAGTGCAATGGCGTAGCCTCAGCTCACTTCAGCCTCTGCCTCCTGCATTCAGGCAGTTCTCCTGCCTTAGCTTCCTGAGTAGCTGGGATTACAGCATGTGCCACCACATCCGGCTAATTTTGTATTTTTAGTAGAGACAGGGTTTCTCCATGTTGGTCAGGCTGGTCTTGAACTCTCAACCTTAGGTGATCCACCCGCCTTGGCCTCCGAAAGTGCTGGGATTATAGGTGTGAGCCACCCTGCTTAGCTGCAAGAATGTTCTTTAAATGGTTGAAAAAATACCAAGATGACTATTTTGTGACATATGAAAATTACATGAAATCCACATTTCAGTGTCCCTAGGTAAAGTGCTTTGGGGCACAGCTGTGCTCATTTATTTACATATTGTCTGTGGTTACTCTTACACTCCAGAGGCAGAGGCCGTATGGCTGCCCAGCCCAGAATGACTGGCCCTTTGCCGAAAAGGTTTTCCCACCCCTGCCCTAGAGAACAGCAAGTAAAGGTTCGATCTGGAGTCGGAGGTGGATTGGCCACTGGCCCTGGTACATACCTCTCTCAGCCCCATTTCCTCTGTGAAACGGGGATGATAACTGGGCTTACCTCAGGCTTGTTGTGAGAATCAAGTTGAAAAACTGCAAGAGATGTGCTTAGCAGAGGGCCTGTCACTTGGTAAGCACTCTTACAAATGGTAGCTGTCATGATTAGGGGTGTGCTCTGGAACTGGTGGCTTGTTGTTAGATTCATGTAGACTTTCAGTCGAGGCAGAGGACACTGCCTCTTGCACGCTGCCAGTGCGCTGACATGTCTAGAATAAGTGAAGAGTGGTCAGATCCTCTGCCTGACCTGTTCCTGGATCTGGGTGTGGGTACACTGGGTGCTGTGGGAGCCCAGAAAAGGCCTCAATAACTCTCCATCAGGTAGCTGAGGCCGACAAGGCCATTCTTGCGGGAGGACCTACAGAGGCAAAGGCCCAGGTTGGGAGAGTGCTCGGCTTTGGGGGTAATCTCTCTGCACGACGCTGATGTTTTCTCTTCCTCCCATCCTCTAGGGCCCAGGAGATACCAGCGGGGGCTGCCGCTGCAGGGTGAATGGGATTCCTTGCCACCCAAGCTGTCAGAACTGCCACTGAGCTAAAGATGGTGGGGCCCCATGCTGACCCAGCCCCACACCCAGGGCTGAGCTTGGGACTTTGGCTCCAACTTCTGGCTGGGAGATGCTTTTGTGCAGAGGCCAAGTCCCTGAGCTTCGTGGATGGCCTTGCTTGCTATCGTGCTGTGGGGCTCTGCCTGCGCTGCTGTTGTCCACGGTCACATCTGCCCCAGTGCCTTTGTCCTTCCCTTGGGGCTTGCCGGCCAGACTTCTGTCTCCTGCAGCTCCCACCTCTGCCTGATTCCAGCCATAAACACGGCCCCTGGCCAGAGGCCTCACTGGGCGGAGCCTCTGTGTGACTCCACGCTCCTCCCGCCACAACGCTCATCTGCCGAACATCAGCATTCACAGCCTCCCTGCCTTCCCCTGCTGGCTTTCTGGGGCTAACTGTTCTCTGCCTTTGCAGTTGGAGGCCTGGGGCCTCTTAGAACTCTTGCTAACCTGTTCAGAGCCAGAAAGGAGACTGGGCAGTTTGGAAAACACAGCTCATCAGGTCCGGCTCTGCCTCTCCCTCTCTGCAGCCTGTGTAAGCTATTAGAATTAAAATGGTTTTCCAGGAAGGGATGTGTGATGTCCTTGAGAGGAAGTGAATGGCCTGGACTGGGACTCTGCACCCAGGCAGGATCCCAGTGTCTCTGGGAACTGCATCAGGAAGTTGACCGGTCAGACCATCTGTGGTAGAATGAGGCTGTGACAGCACTAGGACCTTTCTTTTTTTTTTTTGACACGGAGTTTCGCCCTTGTTACCCAGGCTGGAGTGCAATGGCGCGATCTCGGCTCACCGCAACCTCCGCCTTCTGGGCTCAGGCAATTCTCCTGCCTCAGCCTCCTGAGTAGCTGGGATTACAGGCACATGCCACCATGCCCAGCTAATTTTTTGCACTTTTAGTAGAGACGGGGTTTCACCATGTTGACCAGGATGGTCTTGATCTCTCGACCTCGTGATCCACCCGCCTCAGCCTCCCAAAGTGCTGGGATTACAGGCTTGAGCCACCGCGCCCGGCAGCACTAGGACCTTTCTACCAGACTTGGCAACCCATGCCCAGCCTCAGGAGCAAGGATGCTCTCAGGTCGTCACCAGCCAGGACGGGCAGAGTGTGCAGTATGTCAAGTCTGCAGAGAAGGCTGGGCTTGGGGGCGGGAGGGGAAGTCTTGCCACTCTTGGTCCCTTTGGCCTTGCAGAAGGCATCCAGGGTTGGCAGGTAGATCGTTGAAGAAGGAATGAAGCTGCTGCAGCTGAGGGGTGAGGTTGTCCATCCTAATTTTCACATCCCAGGCAAGAGGGTAAGGTATCAATTCAGCAGTATTTATTGGAACCCACTCTGTGCTGGTCAGAGGTTGCTAAGACATGGTCCTGAGATGTTTGTTCTGTAAGTTTTTCCTCCACTCTGTGACCCATCCCCCTTCCCCTTTTGAGATCCGGTACTGTCACAGCAGGCGGAGGATGCCTCTGCTGCTGAAGGCCTGTGGTTTGGTGGGCAAGGGCCTGTTCTAGCCCCTGGAAAGGCACTGCCACCTGCCATCGGATGCCAAGACTCGAGCTAGCCCCAGTCTCTCTGCGCAGAGATGTCCGAGTATGTGTGAGTGGACTGGGTCCTTCTGGCACTGCCTGCATGGGCTCAGGACGGTCAACTGTGGCAGCCGATGGGAGGCATGCTCAGGCAGCCTCCCCAGCCCTGGAGGCGGAAAGGCCCAGGCAGAACCACCGACTGGGAGGAAACGACAAGCTGAGGAGAGCCGAGCTGCAGGCGTGTGGATGGGCCCAGCTCAGGCAGACGCTGTCTCAGACCCTCTCCTCCTTCTCCTGCCTCGTGTCTCTTAGGAGCGTGGGAACCAGAGGAAAACAGAGACTGTTCTCTGGTAGTGCCGCAGACTGTATCCAGAATACCCAATATTGTTTTAGAAATTTAAATTGGCAACATCTTTTGCCACATTAAAATCTAGATGCCCAGCCTCTCTCGAAATTGTCAAAGATTGGTAATGCCAGGTCCTCCCTTCCATCTGTGGGGACTGGAGTCACAGAGACGTCGAGTCTCTTCACGGGTGTACACCCTCCAGTTTGCCCCAGTCCTCATCACCCCAGAACTCACACCGAGGCCTTTACAGTGCCCTTGCATCATCCTTTTTCTCGTTAAGAGGAAAATGAAGTGGGTCTCTACCCACAGCGTATCACAAGTGAGGGCGAGCCCCACAGAGAGGGTGGTGCTGGCTGCGGCTTTGCTTGGCCCACCGTGTCTGTGCTGCATTGGTGCGGAGGGGCAGGGAGCGGTGCAGGCCAACCCAGGTACCTGCCTCAGCCCCACACTCCTTGCACCTGCAAGTGAAAGGTCTAAGATGGGTGGGGTCAGAGCACCCTCTACTGCGGGGTCAGAGCACCCTCTACTGCAGGGTCAGGTAGAGGTGCCTCCGCCTCCCAAGGCTCACCCCATGCCAGAGGCCCAGACCTTGAGAGCCCAGCACCAACTCTCCAGGGCAGAAAGAAAATAAGACCCCAGGGCTTTGGGCTTAAACCATCTAGAGCAGGCGTCCCCAAACTACAGCCCGCAGGCCGCATGCAGCCCCCTGAGGCCATTTATCCGGCCCCCCCGCCGCACTTCAGGAAGGGGCACCTCTTTCATTGGTGGTCAGTGAGAGGAGCACAGTATGTGGCGGCCCTCCAACGGTCTGAGGGACAGTGAACTGGCCCCCTGTGTAAAAAGTTTGGGGACGCCTATCTAGAAGCAGCAGCAGGAGGTCCCAAATGTACTTAAGTGACACAACGGTCATTCTCTCCCCAGGGGCAGGGGAGGGTGAGAAGCCCATTGCTCAGATAAAGAGCAGCTGCCACTGAGGCTGGCCCCGCAGCCTATGCTGGCGTTCACTGGTGTCTTCCTCTAGTGCCTGGGGCTGGCATGGAATCTGCTCAAACACAGGCAGCTGGAGGCGAGCCCACGGGCTGGCGCTCCCAGGTGCCAACCATGAGGAAGTGTGGAGAAAAGACCAGGGAGTGGGGGCCCCCTTGAGGAGCGGGAATAGGCAGCAGGGGCCACCAGAAGAACACATGGAGGGGACAGTGGCAGGGAGAGGAAGATACAGCCAGGCTGGGTCTCAGCCCTGTCACCTCTTAGCTGGATTCGGTGAAGCCTCCGGCCTGTTCCTCCTTTCCGTCGGCACTTCATCCCTGGGTGAGCGTGGGCCCGGTGCAGGGCTGGCTATAGGTGTTTGTTGATCATAACTGCTCACGAAAATGGCAACAGCACTAGCACAGCTTCACAAATAGAAACGCATTTCACCAACACCCTGGCAGGAGGCCCTCCAGGAGGGATGACGCTATCCCTGCTTTACTGTTACAGACGTGAGCCTCCGAGGAGCAGTGACTTAGATGCTCACACAGCCAGGAGGGAAGGGACACACTTGACCCTGTCTCAGACCCCGTCAGGCCACCAATAATCCTCTCTTCAAACCCAGCGCTGGTCAAGGCCTAGCTTCACCCCCAAATCACCCACCGCGCAGCCTCAACTCCTCTCCCCAGCACTCCAGCCATCCCTGCCCGGCCCGAGGCTCCGGACATGGCCACCTCCCTCCACAGACCCTAAACCCCCAGCGCTCCAGGGCTTTGCTGGCCCCAAACCACCTACACTTATTACTCATGTGTTATTTTTACACTGGCTTCCCCTCAGCCTTGCGTACTGTGGTGTTCTCTGACACCACTTTTCCAGCTCTCTGATATCAACTGGGGCTAGCGTCAGCGCCCACAAATTAAAGGGCTCAGTCCCATAAGACTGTCCCCACTTCCGACGGAGTCACAGATGGGGTGCTCAGGCAACCCACATACTTCCTTCCTGGCCAACTACACATTCAGGGGTTCCCATGACTCCACCCCCTCAGGTTCAATAATTTGCCAGAATGACTCAGAACTGAGGCGCACCCTGCCCTGATGCTTCCTGGTGTGGTGTGGACTTCCTTCCTCAAGGATGCAGTGCAGATGGGAACAACCACACGGAGGAGATGAACAGGCAAGATGGTAGTGACTGACGGTCACCACAGTCTCAAATTTTATTATTTTTTTTGAGACAAGAGTCTCGTTCTGTCGCCAGGCGCCAGGCTGGAGGGCAGTGGCGCGATCTCAGCTTACTGCAACCTCCGCCTCCCGGGTTCAAGCAATGATCCTGCCTCAGCCTCCCAAAGTGCTGGGATTACAGGCTTGAGCCACCACACCTGGCCTTGTTTTATTTTTGAGACAGAGTCTTGCTCTGTCACCCAGGCTGGAGTGCAGTGGTGCAATCTTGGCTCATACAACCTCCACCTCCCAGGTTCAAGCAATTCTCCTGCCTCAGCCTCCCGAGTAGCTGGGACTACAATACAGGCACCCGCCACCATGCCTGGCTAGTTTTTGTAGAGACAGGGTTTCACCATGTTGGCCAGACTGGTCTTGAACTTCTGACCTCAGGTGATCCACCCACCTCAGCCTCCCAAATTGCTAGGATTACAGGTGTGAGCCTCTATGCCCAGCCTGGAAGCTCAAGTTTGTAAAGAACTCCACCTCCAGCACCCAGACTCCCAGGAGTCACAGACTGGGACTGAAAGTTCCCGCCCTCTAATCACCTGGACTTTCTGGTGCCAGACCGACCCTCAGGCAATCTAGGGGCCCTACTCTAAACTTCATTAGCATGAACTTGAATGGGCTGGAAAGGAGTTTGTTACGAATAACAAAAGAACTCACAATCAGGAAATTCCCAGGGCTGTAGGAACCCCATGTTAGGAACCCAGGAGGAAGACCAAGTATTTCTTAGTATCTCACACACATCCTTCCTTCAATTCTCCAATTATCATAATTCTACTCATCCTTCACATTCCACCATCAGAGTCTAAGAAAGCGCCCCTGAATTTGCTGCAGGATACAGACTGCTCCTGAGTGCAGCTCTGGTGTGAGCTTGCAGAGGCAGCGCAGTACCCTGGGCAGTCCTGCATATTCCATGACTGTCAGATCCAACGGCAGTGTGGCCCTGGCCCACAGTGGCAGGAGCTGAGTGCCACTGGTTGGGCCCTGGGAACCTGCACATCTTCCCTCTGGGCTAAGGAAACAAACACCATAGACAGCATGTCTCCCTGCAGGCCCCATCCCCAGGATGGAGGCCCTGCATTGCGCTCTTGCTCCCCAGCAGCCGGGAGTGTCTGGAGGATGTTGGAAAGCTCGGCAAGAGCAGGCTCAGCAGCTCCTCTGTAGACAGAAAGGGCATATGGAGGAGAACTGGCACCGCATCAAGCTCTGGTTAGGATCCAAAACCAAATGCCAGCCCCTAGCACCCCCAGACCAGGTGTGAAACGCCGGAAGGGCGCCCCAGACCCGCACCACTTGCACCAACCGGGAGGGTACCGACCGTGGAAAAAACAGGAACTCAAACTGTTTTCCTCCTCTGCTCTCTCAACAACAAAAGACATCTGTGGCCAAACGTGTTGGGGATTTCTGCCCCCACACCAAGCAAGCAAGCAGTTCTGCAGCCTACACCAGCTGGGTATCCTCCAACTCAATTCAGTGCTGACCCTATCTATACCATCTGGAAATGGAATACGCAGATTCAGGGCTCTGTCGCAAAGGACTGCCCCCTCCGCCACATGGGACTGACCACCCTTTCGGGTGGGATGACTTGCCAGAGCAGCTCACAGAACTCAGGGAAACTTTACTTATGTTTACCAGTTTATTACAAACGTTATTAGAAAGGATACAAATAAATAAACAGCCAGATGAAGAGTCACATAGGGTGAGGTCTGGAAGGGTCCTGGGCAAGCACAGGAGCTTCTGTCCCCATGGAGTGGGGGTGCGCCACCCTCTTGGCACATGGACAGATCTCCACGTTCAGCTCTCCAGAAGGTCCCCAAAGCCCGTGCTCCTGGGCCTTTTACCGAGACATCATTGGATAGGCATGGCTGAAGCATGCAAACCGTGTTGAGACGAGATTGGACAAAAATCGTAAGGTCTAAACCCAGCAAGGCCTGTCTGTCCAGATGCTTCTTGGCCTCTCTGTGTAGCATTCCTCCTTCCTGGGTATAGAGCAGGACCCTCTCTGGAATGAGGGTCTTATAAGCCACAGTCAGATTAGAGTCTGGCGTTGAACAAGTGAAATGAGGGGAGGTCGGAGACAGATTCCGTTTTCTGAGGCCTGCAGCGCCCCAACATTAGAACAAGGGCTATGGGAGTAAAGAACCAGGAACTGTGGACAAATAACATCTATACACACACACATGCAAAATATCGCGGCACCCCAGGCAGCAGCTGGAGTGTGTGGGTCATACTTCCTGCAGATGAAATAGAAACAGGACTATAGGTACTGCCCAACGTCTCCTAGCCAATCAAAGCCAACCAGGAGTCCACAGACCACAGCACAGTTCCAGGCCTGGGATGGAAGGTGGCGAGCATCCAGATCAGAGTCCACTCCCACTGAGTGGTGGCCATGGACAGAATGACAGAGAGGTGATTAGTAACCACATATGGCTGTTTATTCGATACACGGCTCTGTACAAAATATTTACACATAATTCTTTACAGAATAAGTAAACCACCTGAAGGTAATTAGATAATGTTTTCTTCTCAATGGCAGAGGAGAATCCTGGTGTCAGTGAAGTTATAAAACAAACATTCTCCTTCCGAGGCCACAACTCAAGCAAATGCCGCTTGCTTCCCAGGATCTGAAAAGCTGTGGCTTGGGACCCTGGTCACATGCACCTCCTTTCCTCGACCCCATCAATTCCTTCAGTGTTTACAAACAGGCTTGAGTGCTTGTGGAAGGAGGGGCAGCTGCTGCTGCCCAATGAAAGGATGACAAGAGGGCCAACTTGCTGTGGGAGAACACGGGGAGTATCTGCCGCATCATCACCTCTGGAAGAATTTCCTTTGCCCTGATGAATACACCGCTTTCTAAATTAATCCATCTACATCACACTCACCTCAAAGTGGGGCTCCTGCCATGGAGAATGATCCATCACTTTGAGCTTTTTTGGTTTTAAAGTGCTTAGTGGCCAGGCGTGGTGGCTCACACCTGTAATCCCAGCACTGTGGGAGGATGAAGCGGGCAGATCACCTGAGGTCAGGAGTTTGAGACCAGCCTGGCCAACATGGCAAACCCCATCTCTACTAAAAAAAAAAAACAGAAAGGGAAAAAAAAAAAAAAAAAAAGGCGCCTGTAATCCCAGCTACTCAGGAGGCTGAGGCAGAGAGAAGTATTTGAACCTGGGAGGCGAAGGTTGCAGTGAGCTGAGACCGCACCACTGCACTCCAGCCTGGGCGACAGAGTGAGACTCCATCTCAGAGAAAAAATAAAAATAAAACAAATAAAAATAAAGTGCTTAGTGTAACTCAGCATAGACACGGCTCTGGCTCACCAGCTGCCTGGCACGTGGGACACCCTCGACCCTGCACACGACAGGCATACAAGGACGACGGGGAGTCTGGATATGGTGGGCTGGAGTGCTTCTGGCATGTTCACTTTAAGAAAATGGCTGCCAAGAGAGAACAATGCCCAGGAAAGACCAGGAAAATACAAGTACATGGCTGCTTCATACCATAAACCCCCATTCTTTAAAGCAGCAAAAGGCACTTTTTTTTTTTTTTTTTTTTTTCAGGCCAGAGTTAATATAAAACAAACCTGGCTTTGCTTACAGGGAAGCTGTCCCAGAAGGAATGAGTGATGCCTCTTTCCCCTAAGGCCTGGAGAGTCTTGGAGAAGCTTGGGCAGGGGGGCTGGCTGTCCCAGGCTCCTGCCAAGCTCTGTCCCTTTCTGGGTGCCGGCAAGTTTCCAATGACATTTCCAACCAGGTGGGAGAGACCAGCAGTTGAAGAGACAAATCAGACCCAAAAAATGACGCCAAGGTAGTGAGTGGGTGCCTGTTTGAGAGCAGAAGGACGATTTGAGGAAAATAGGAAGGAAAGCTGTCAGAAAGTGGCACTTTGGAAGTGGAAAGCTGTTTGCAAATAGCAACTCTGGCTAAAGCGAAATGTTAAACAACCAAGTAGAAAGTAAAATTCAGGATCTTAGAGGCTCATCCTTCTGATGAGAACTATTTTTTCTCGTGAAGAAACTATTATTACTTTAAAAGTGAGGGTAATTTACGTAGTGGGTGTACATATTCTAAAAATAGTATTAAAAGTACTTTTAATAAGCAGTTAAAATAAGTTGAGTGGCTTGTAGAAGAAAACAGCGAGGGAAAAAAGGCAGGCAAAACTAGTCCAGGTCTAGACCCTAAAAATGAGCATTCCTTCCCCCTTCACCGGAAGTGCCCATGCAATTTCTAGGCTGAAAATAGGCAGGATTTAACTAGTAACCTAGTTCCCATCTGTCTCTGACTTCTGACCAGCTGATGGAACTGCTCGCGCCAACCATGCTCCCAGATGAGTCCTTTGCCCTCTTGCTCTCAATCCCAAGCCTGACTCCTTCAGCAGCACCGGCCGCCTTCTGTGTCCATCGGATGCATCTGATGCAGGCAGAGCGGGAGCAGTGAAGACGGCATCCCATGCTCCAGCTCACTTTCTACAGGGTGACTAGGAGGTTCCCAGTAACCAGGGCAGCCCAGACCCAGCAGGTTGCAAAGGCAGCCAGGGGCTGCAGAAACCCACTTCCTCCAGCACTAGGGGAGGTGGCAGAGAGCCCATCCAAAAGCCCACTGGGAGGGGATAAGATTCTGTGCCAGGCCCCCAGGTGCCCTCTGTCAGGCAGGCTCTGCTACTGGCCTCTGAAGTAAAGGCATACACGAACAGGAAGGGCAGGGTGGCAGGAATAGAAAACTCTGGACAGAAACCCTTTTAATAAAGGAAATTCCACTCCTCCCAATCCTTCCACGGAAAGGTGAGACCTTAATGCGATGTAAGAGGAAGGTCTTCTCTGGCTTTCAGGGAAACAGCTGCAGCTGAAACTTAGGGGCCCACTCCAGGGCACTTTTCACCACAGCCAGCGCAGCCGCTCCAAGTGCCACTGTCAGCCCCATCACTGCCAGTTTCACAAAGCGGTTGGTCCTTGGTTTGGTCAGGACATCTTTTGTTCGATCATCAGGCCGCAGAAGTCCCCGAAACCGCTGCCGCAGCACCGTATCAGGCCTTTGCTGGGCTGATGCCAACTCAAAGTCTTTAAAGGTAGAGGCTGCCGTCCTGCACAGGAAAGAAACAGAAAGAAGGAAGTGGTATGAAAGACGAGGAGGAAAGAAAAACTACACCACACAGGCTGAGGGCAGAGCCTGTCAGTGCTGGGAAAGCTCTTCTTGATAAAGGCCCATGTGTCTACAGTGGGGGTTCCACTGGCCTAAGCTCAGATCTCTGGAAACATGCCCCAGCACTGTCCCACCAGATACAAACCTTCCCTTAATTCTGCTCATTCACAGCTGCCCCCACTCAACCAGTGTCCCCGCCTCATTCACCTCTCAGCTTGCTGCTGGGCGGCGGCCTCCCGAGCAAGTTCAGATGGAGGAAACTGAACAAAAAGGTCTCCTGCTCTGCTGATCAGCGTCTCGTAGGGCAGGTCCTGAGGGATCTGGGACAACAGGTGGTGGACCGAGGCCATGTCACAGTCACAGTCCAGGACTTCCTGCTCTCGATACAACACAATCTGCAGGAAGGTAGTAAGGCCTTGTGGTCAGAGAAGAGACACACGGGGCCTGGGCCGCTTGCACTCCATTCTCCTTAGAGATGAATTTAAACTGGTGACAGACGGGGCTCAGCCCAAATGTTCAGCAAATCTTTTGTATCCGTCAAGGAAGTAATAACACATATACTCTCAGTGCTGCTCCTAATGCCTGGCCCTTCCTGCAAACTTCCACCCCATCACGTGAAAGCCTGACCAGTTACAATCTAAGTCCTTCCAGGCACATTGGGCTGCGCAGGTGTACCTTTAAGTATTGAAAGAAATGAAGGAGATTCTTTTAGGAGAAAGGAGGAGAATTACTGGGAGATTCCTGGAGCTCCAGCATAGAAGAAATGCACGAATGTCCATAAATCCACAGATGCTCAAGGGACCAGTGGTCAGTGAAGGACTTCCTTGAGTTCCCACCTCTACCCCATCACTCAGGCCCTTCTAACTGGAGCCCCCACTCTCCACCACGAGCCATCTCCCTTGTCTATCATGACACCAGATCTCTTCTCTTCTTAAATCTGGAGTCGGCAGCTTGTACTACTGTTTCCCTAATTGTGTTCATCAGCTGAACATGTATTCCAGGCAACGTCAATAGGAACCTGACAATTCACAATGCACATTAGCATTTTAAAGGTTCAGAGTCATGCAGCAAAAAAAATCTGATTTTGTTTGCCCAGCATTTCCCAACTTCTTATTTTTTGTGTGTGACACCCTCATTAATCTTGTACAGAATGATGTCCAGGGACACCAGCCTGGGAAATACTGTCTTTTGCATCTTTCCATAATCCCCAGGTTTCCCTTCAGGGAAAATGACCACAGTGGGATGGGTGACGGTGAATCTAGTTGCTGGCTCATGGCCTGTACCTACCACAGCTGCAAAGTAAATGGGCATCAGTGGGTGGCAGGCCAGGAAGAAGTCATATAACCGCACGACGTGCCTGAAGTCAGACAGGACATGGCCAAACCAGGTGATGAGCCAACTGAGGGCAAAGATGGTCCCCACCTCAGCACTAGAAACAAAGGAAAGCCAGGCGTCAGGTCCTGTGGGCCATCCCTTCCCTGTCTCTGGGCTTTCTTTGTCCTCAGTGCTGGTGAGAAGGAAGCATTTAGGAATAGGATTTCTAGAAAATTCAGCTACCTAGGAATTCAGCATCTTGTCCTCACAAAATATTTAATACAAAGACTTTAAGGTGCACCACAACAATAACACCACAACAGGGTCCTGGCTGCTTTATCTCACTGGGTACTCTCCTAATGTCCAATAAATGTCAAAAACAGGAACAAGCAGCAGCTGTTTTCAGAGAACTACACCATGATTCTCCTTCTGAGTAAGACTTCTCCTTTTGAGGGGCACAGGTACACATTCCCAGGCCTAAAAACACGACTGCATTAATTTTTCAATTAACATGAAATAACTGAAATATCTGAAAATGTAGCCATTACCTTTAAATTTTTTTTTTTTTTTTTAAAGTCCGGGCACGGTGGCTCATGCCTGTAATCCCAGCACTTTGGGAGGCTGAGGCGGGTGAATCATGAGGTCAGGAGTTCAAGACCAGCCTGGCCATCATAGTGAAACCTCGTCTCTACTAAAAATACAAAAATCAGATGGGTGTAGTGGTGGGTGCTTGTAACCCAGCTACTCAGGAGGCTGAGGCAGGAGGATCGCTTAAACCTGGGAGGTAGAGGTTGCAGTGAGCTGAGATCGTGCCACTGCACTCCAGCCTGGGCGACAGTGTGAGACTATGTCTCAAAAAAAGAAAAGAAAAATAAAGAGGCATTGGCCAAGAACACATTTCCAACTGAACAGCAAATAAACAAAACATCGTATGAGATTTGCAAAAATACTTCTTCTCTTTGATAGGTACTTGGGAAATAAAACAACCCACTGTTGGTCTTCTCCTTCTTGCCTCTGAATCCCACAGGACTTTGTGCTTCTCTTGTAGCAATAACCTCAGCATCTCCCTTGGCATATATACCTTATCCACCTCTCCCCACTAGATGTAAACTCAAGGAAGGGGCTATGTCCCCCAAAGAGCACAGTCCTCAAAAAGTGCTCCAAGAACTGAATTATCCAGATTGCTGGTGACTGGAAAGAACTTGGCAGAACTTAACAAATGCACTTAAGATGATGAGGAAACTGCACTGGATTTGTGAGGAGTGTTTCAGGTGTGGGGGGTGTGGGCATGTGTAAAACGTAGACACATATGTACCTCTGCATGAAGTCATGGAGCTCTGGATTCACCTGGTCAATGATGGGCATCAGGTAGTTCAATATATGCTTGGTGTTGTCCATTGTTGGATCCATAAAATCCCTGGAGGGAGACAATTTAATGAGCCTGGGCACCAAATACTTAGATCAGGGCTGGGGGTAGTGTGGGCTTGAACTCCTAAGAAAGCTGACCAGAAAATAGGCCAATGAGAATAAGCAATGAAAATAGCCCAGGAGGGCTGAGGAGTAAAGCCCACCCTCTCATGTTCCTCTACACTGGTACCTGAGATGGTGGGTAGATAATTTTTCTACCAGGGATGTTGCCAGCCTCTCGCCTACCACCAGCAGAAACGTGACCACAATGTCATGGTAGCCCTGGTAGTAGTGCAGCTGAGGGTTGCGCTCCAAGATGAGGAGGATGATGTCAATCAGTTCTTCCTGAAGCCCTTCTCTCTGTTCTTCTGGCATCCCTGGGGACAGGAATAGACAGGAGATGCCTTTCAACCTACCAAGAGCCTAGTAACAAGGAGGTCAGGAAGAAGGCTAGCAGTCAATTTTCAAAGGAAAAAAGAAAATGAATTACAATGCTGCTGGGGATGGAGGACGCAGACGACCTCTGCCTCCTGAAGTGACGCACTGACAGAGCTCAGCATCACGTCTACAGGATTTCTATCAACAGCACACAGAACTAAATCCCACGACAAAGAAATACCCAATATACCCAAAGTAAGAGAAATTTAACAAAAATAACTGGCCTCTCAAACAATACAAAGGAATTGTTCCAGATTACAAGTGGCTGAAGAGATACGATGACGGTATGAGAAACGCGTTAAATCTATATTTCCTTTTCCAGGGAAGCACATTACTAGAATAAATGGTAAAATGTAAATCTGTGGATTAATTTTCATTGTTGTTACTGATTTTGCTCAGCGTACTATGATTACTTAGGAGCTTTATATTTAGGAAATATATCCTGAAATATTTAGGGGTTAAAAAGATGTCATGTTTGTAACTTATTCTTAAATGGTTCAGAGAAAAAGTTTATGTGTAAAGTAAAGGAAGTAGAGAAAGCAGCTAAAAAAGCAAATGTAGTAAAATGTTAAAACCAAAGGAAATCTGGGTAAAGGGTATCTGGGGAATTCTTTGTCCTATTTTTATAACTTTTCAGTAAGTATGAAATTATATAAAAATAAAAAAAAATAAAGTTGCACGTTCCCCTTTAAACCAAAGCAAGTATTACAGGAAAGATGGATTCTCTGAAAATGGGAAGCCTGTCCCGGGAGTTCTTTCAGAGTATGGAAGTAGTCCTGCCAGCAGTCAAAATGCCAAGCCTTGGCCTCACGAGCCACGTTAGAAGAATGACACGCGCACAGCTTCCCTACACCACTAGCTTTTCGTTAAAAACAGATATTCAGACAGAGAGAAAGCAGCTAATGTAAGGGTCCAAACTAACCTGGACAACGGACTGCAGGTGAGAGCAAAGCTTACCTCTCCTTCTCAAAAAAAGCATATTCTAAAAGATACACAAGGAAAGGAAGCAAACCAAGGACTGCTGATTGGTGAAGCAGTGGAAGGAGGGAGAGTAAAAATTAAACCCTGTGTCAATTTTTAGCAAAAGAGCAGTGAGCCAGGCCAAGAAGATCATGAATGAAAAAAGAATATGAAGCCACATGGTAAGTTCAGCCTACAGAAAGAATCCAGACTTTACATAAATGGAAGAGAAATAAAGGGTTCAGAGGGAAAACAGGTCACCTAGAAAAAAATGGGGGCGGGGCGCAGTGGCTCATACTTGTAATCCAAGTACTTTGGGAGGCTGAGGTGGGCAGATCACCTGAGGTTAGGAGTTCGAGACTAGCCTGGCCAACATGGTAAAACCCTGTCTCTAAAAATACAAAAGCAAACTGGCTGGGCGTGGTGGCGGGCACCTACAATCTCAGCTACTTGGAAGGCTGAGGCAGAACTGCTTGATCCCAGGAGGTGGAGGCTGCAGTGAGCTGAGACAGTTCCATTGTACTCCATCCTGGTCAATAAGAGCAAAACTCTGTCTTAAAAAAAAAAAAAAAAAGAGAGAGAGAGAGAGAGGCATCTGTCCTTTGTGACCTCATCTGAAACAGCAGGCTAGGAAAAGGGGATGGACCCTGGGCATGTGCTTTTATCAAAACCACGCTGGCAGGCTACTGCTGCCTGGGGATCGCAAGAGCCTATCCAGGGAACAAGAATGCCAGCAGGAAAGCAGCCCCTTCAACAACAAAAGCCAGGCCAGAGCATGGTGCAGAAGAGGGAGGCAGGGAGCTCAGAGGCTCCTGTTCCCTTTAGCAATTCTGCTCTCTTCATGACCTCAAGGTGGAGCTGCCAGAGAAAGAAAAATAGGTCATCCATGTGAGGTTTGCTGCCCAGTTCCCTTCACCGTGAAAATTGAGACAATGGTCCTTATTTTCTTTCTTCCTGAAATGAAGAGGAATATACTCTTTATATCTATTGCTGCTGAACAAATTAAGGAATATACTCTTACACATACAGGGAATGCCTCTCTTCCCTCTAAGTAATCTTACATATGTATGTGCAAGGTATCACTATTTTTAGACTTAATTAAGATATTAATCATTCTTGTTAGTGCTCATTCTACACCAGTCTTCTCATCACCAGACTGATGGCTCTAACAATCCCTATTAACTCCTTTTTGGGGCTTCAAGGAAAAACAAAAACCTCTTCTCTCATTCGACACCTCTAGGCCACAAGAAATTATTTTTGGTTCAGGCTTTCACAGCGGGGGTCTGAAAGAGACCAGTCAACAAAAGGATGATTCAGCAAATGGAGAGTTCTGAAGGTCCCTGAGGAGGCAGGGTCCAGCATATTATGACACGTGGTATGACATGGGACAGATACAGTCTTTCCAAATGTGGCAGGAGTGGGAGAGTTTCTCACCAGGAGGGAACCGCCGCAATGACCGCCGGACATCCAACAACACTTGTTGGTAGTCCTTGCTCATCTGCCGTAGGTTCTTCCCTATTGAAGGAAAAGGAACGTGTTATTGCAGGAACACCTGAGAAGCCAGAACAGAAGCAAAACATTCTGGGATGACATGAAAGGTCTAGAGGACACACATCAGCTTTCTCCTGAAAAGGATATGACTCAAGATACAACATTTGGCAGGCAATCCTGAGTTTAGTTCCAAACATCATGTTTTATGCAAGTCCCAATGACCCTAAGAGAAGGGAGTACAGACTTCCCAGGAGGCAATACAGTGGGGTGGGAAGGAGAGCAAAGACATAAGGAGGCCTCATGAAGAAGGTCACTATGCATCATGGGGAACGGCTCTGAATTTCAATGTCCGCAGCTACAAAATAAGGATATTCCCTTCCAAGGATCAAACTAGAATCATGAATGTGGGCCGGGCGCGGTGGCTCACGCCTGTAATCCCAGCACTTTGGGAGGCCGAGGCGGGCAGATCATGAGGTCAGGAGTTCGAGACCAGTCTGGCCAACATAGTGAAATGCTGTCTCTACTAAAAATACAAAAAATTAGCCAGGTGTGGTGTTATGTGCCTGTAATCCCAGCTACTCAGGAGGCTGAGGCAGGAGAATCACGTGAACCCAGGAGGCAGAGGTTGAAGTGAGTTGAGATAGCGCCACTGCACTCCAGCCCAGGCAACAGTGCAAGACTCCATCTCAAAAAAAAGAAAAAAAGAAAAAGGAAAAAAAAAAAAAACCATGAATGTGAGAACAATAGACCACTGAAAAAAATCCTAACACCTATAAAGTTCTGAGAGCACTAAGCTGTTTAGAAAGGTATATTGAGACTCACAAAAAGAACCACCACCTAACATCTTTTGACCCAGCAATTCTAAAACTAAGATGCTGCAAAGAGGAGACAGTCCTGGGTTCAGCTGCTAAGTCCAATACAATGTGACAGTAAGGAGGCAGGCTCTAGCTATTATGTATAGAACAAGTGTATATTTCCCTCAACCAAACCAAGTGCTATATAATAAGCATACATTTCCCTTGCAACCCAAAGCAAAAGCTAGTAAAGCTGGGCAACACTTCCTCACACACAGGCTTCATGGTATAACAAGGTGAGGGAAGTTTGGAACTTGATAGAAGAACATCATCTCAGGATTCAGTGTGTGAATATGGCACTGCCTTAGCCTTCCAACAAAAAACTGACTGCTCTGAGGCAGCCAATTTCAAGGATAATAACAAGTGGCAACTCGACACCTACTGGACGGCATCATGACACTGTGAACTTTTTGGTGGCAGAGGTCCTGTTTTAATCACCTCCAGTACCTGGCACACAATCACAGCACAACTAATATTTGGCAACTGAATGAAAGAATCCTTAGCACTTGGCATTTTGCCATGATGGCAGGAAAGCAACAAGGTGAGTACCTTGAGTGAATGGCCAGCAGAGCGGATTCACCGTTCTACAGGACCTTCTTTACTACTTTGAACTGCATTCCAAAGAATTCCTTTTACCACATGGGCCTTGCACATTAGTTACGTAACCACTTTTCACAGAATTACAGAATTTTAGAATTCCAAAGGATCTCAGTATTTCCCAATAAAAAAAGGGTATTTTCTTTTCTTTTTGAGACAGAGTCTCACTCTGTCACCCAGGCTGGTGTACACTGGTGCAATCTTGGCTCACTGCAGTCTGCCTCCATGGTTCAAGTGATTCTCCTGCCTCAGCCTCCCTAGTAGCTGGAATTACAGGCATGTACCACCATGCCGGGCTAATTTTTATATTTTCAGTAGAGATGAGATCTCACCATGTTGGCCAAGCTGGTCTCAAACTCCTGACCTCAAGTGATCCACCTGCCTCAGCCTCCCAAAATGGTGATTACAGGTGTGAGCCACTGTGCCCAGCCAAAAGAGAGTGGTTGTGTGTGTGTTTGATTTTACTTTACTTTTAGAGATGGGATCTTGTCATGTTGTCCAGGCTGGCCTCAAACTCCTGGGCTCAAGTAAATCCCCCCTCAGCCTCCCAGGCAGCTAAGACTATGGCCATGAACCACCATGCCTGGCTGATTTTTAAATTTTTTGTAGAGACAGGGTTTCTCAATGTTGCCCATGCTGGCTGCAAACTTCCAGTCTTAAGTGATCCTCTTGCCTCAGCCTCCGAAAGTGCTGGAATTACAGGTGTGAGCCACCTTGCCCAGCTACAAAATACGCATTTTAAAAAAATACTTGCCAAGCAAGTATGTTAGAACAAAGAATATGCATTTTTAATAAACTCACTTGCCTAGCCTATATTTTAATCCCTAATAAAGAACTTGGCTGGGCATGGTAGCTCACGCCTGTAATCCCAGCACTTTGGGAAGCCAAGGTGGGAGGACCATTTGAGGTCAGGAATTTGAGACCAGCCTGGTCAACAGGCAAAACCCCATCTCTACTAAAAATACAAAATTAGCAGCGCACAGTAGCATAGATTGTAATCCCAGCTACTAGGGAGGCTGAGGCAGAACTGCTTGAACCCAGGGAGCAGAGGTTGCAGTGAGCTGAGACTGCTACACTGTATTCCAGCCTGGGCGACAGAGTGAGACTCTGTCTCATAAATAAATAATAATAAATTAAAAAATAACTCATCCCACTTTTGAATAAAATTCTACTTATTGGATTGGCTTTATTTTCAGAGTGGGCCCAAGCATTTCCCAAAACACCCTAGATTTACTCATATACCCTTGGTTTGAAAAGAGCATAAAAATTAAAGATACGGAATTTTTTTCTCCCTGTCTCCTAGACAAGCCCCTCATAGCCTCCCCCACTCCCCTTACCTGATATAGGAGGTGGGTCATTGGCATTGACATTGAGGAGCTTGGGCCACACTTTTCGTCTGATCTCATCAGTCAGGAGTCCTCCTTCACTGATAGCCATGCGTCTAAGGGCAGCCACATCAGTGGGATCACTGTTCAGAGCCTGGTGTATCTCTGCCACTTTCCTTTTCCTTTTGGCATTAAAGTCTGAAAATAAGGATGGGGAAGCATTAGGCGCACATTCAGCATGTGCATGTTTTCTGCCAAGGAATCAATCTCCTTTTGGTTTGAGGCACAGGTAAGTGTCTCCTCTTAGACAGCTCTAAGACTGCCTACCGGCATAAAGTCTCATAGCCAAATACACTATTCATTTCAGGCCCAGGCTACTAAGCCTTATGGGGGAGGCTTGGACAGCTCATCATAAAATAGATTTTAAATTGCCAATTTTATAAAACACAGTTCAGACCTTTTTATAGGTCTGAACCAAAAATCATAGGCATAGACCAAAAATAATTATTTGCTGTTACTGTTTTTAAGACACAGTGTCTCCCTAAGTTGCCCAGGTTAGACTCAAACTCCTAGGCAAAATTGATCCTCCTACCCCAGCCTCCCAAATAGCTGTGACTTACAGGTGCACACCAACATTCCTGGACCAGAAATAACTGTATGTACCTTTTTTTTTTTTTTTTGGAGATAGAGTCTCTGTCTGTGGCCTAGGCTGCAATGCACAGGTGCAATGTCGGCTCACTGAAACCTCTGCCTCCTAGGTCCCGGTTCAAGCAATTCTTCTGCCTCAGCCTCCTGAGTAGCTGGGCTTACAGGCACATGCCACCATGCCCAGCTAATTTTTGTATTTTTAATAGAGACAGGGTTTCACCGTGTTGGTCATGCTGGTCTTGAACTCCTGACCTCATGATCTGCCTGCCCCGGCCTCCCGAAGTGCTGGGATTACAGGCGTGAGCCACTGCACCCTGGACTAAACGTACATTTAAAAAAAAAAAAAAAAGATAAGTGATGCTGGGCACAGTGGCTCATGCCTGTAATCCCAGCACTTTGGGAGGCCAAGAAGGGTGGATCACCTGAGGTCAGGAGTTTGAGACCAGCCTGGCCAACATGGTGAAAACAAGTCTCCACTAAAAATACAAAAATTAGCTGGGTGTGGTGGTTCACGCCTGTAATCCCAGTGCTTTGGGAGGCCGAGACAGGTGGATCACCTAAGGTCAGGAGTTTGAGACCAACCTGATCAAATAAGGTGAAATTCCATCTCTACTAAAAATATAAAAATTAGCCAGGTGTGGTGGCATGAGCCTGTAGTCCCAGCTACTTGGGAGGCTGAGGCAAAAGAATTTCTTGAAGCCAGGAGGTGGAGGTTGCAGTGAGCCAAGATTGTACCACTGCACTCCAGCCTGGGCGACAGAGCGACACTCCGTCTCAAAAAAATTAAATTAAATTAAATTAAATTAAAATTAAGCCAGGTGTGGTGCTGGGTGCCTGTAATCCCAGCTACTCAGGAGGCCTGAGGCAGGAAAATCACTTGAACCTAGAAGGCGGAGGTTTCAGTGAGCCAAGATCGCACCACTGAACTCCAGTCTCAGCGACAGAGAAGACTCCATTTCAAAACAAAACAAAACAAACAAAAAAAGATAAGTGAAAAAAGATGTGTTAAAAACCAGACAAATCTTGGTTCACATCCTGTCTTTGCCACTTATCTGATCCAGGATCTTGGGCAGATGAATTCCCTACTCTGGGCCTCTGGATTGATACACTCTTTTCAGGATAGTTACCATGGTACACAGTAGATGCTTACTAAATATTAGTTCCCCTCTTCACTGAGAAACAGCATGTATTTTACAAATCAACCTACAGATATTTAATTAGCATACAATATGCAAAGCACTAAGGAGATATACTATGTAAGTAACAAGCAAGGAATTACAATTATAATAAACGCTCAGTAAATTCAGCATATCTAGCAGTTAGCGTCAATGTTTTCATAAGAGAATGTCTGTTCATTAATACCCAAACTTCACAGAGCATATACATCTCTTAAAACTTTTTTTAGGCCGGGCGCGGTGGCTCAAGCCTGTAATCCCAGCACTCTGGGAGGCCGAGGCGGGTGGATCACGAGGTCAAGAGATCGAGACCATCCTGGTCAACATGGTGAAACCCCGTCTCTACTAAAAATACAAAAAAAAAAAGTTAGCTGGGCATGGTGGCACGTGCCTGTAATCCCAGCTGCTCAGGAGGCTGAGGCAGGAGAATTGCCTGAACCCAGGAGGCGGTGGTTGCGGTGAGCCGAGATCGTGCCATTGCACTCCAGCCTGGGTAACAAGAGCGAAACTCGGTCTCAAAAAACAAAACAAAACAAAAAAAAAACCTTTTTTTTTTACCATTGTTTAGATAGGAAAAAACATATGTCACCAAAACTCGATACTACACTGAAAACAAAACCACATGAAAAGATCTCCTGTTACACAATACTACAAGTGGCCAAAACATTAGAATCACACAGAGACATTTTCTTTCCTTCTTTTTTTTTGAGATGGAGTCTCACTCTGTCGCCCAGGCTGGAGTGTAATGGTATGATCTCAGCAAACTGCAACCTCCCCCACCTGAGTTCAAGTGGTTTTCCTGCCGCAGCCTCCTGAGTAGCTGGGATTACAGGCATGCACCACCACGTTCGGCGAACTTTTTGGTATTTTTATTTTAGTAGAGACAGGGGTTTCACCATGTTGCCCAGGCTGGTCTCGAACTCCTGACCTCAAGTGATCCACCTGCCTCGGCCTCCCAAACTGCTGCGATTACAGGCATGAGCCACCGTGCCTGGCCAACACAGATGTTTCCAAAAGCAGAGTGTCAATGGGTACTTAGGTTTCCAGTGTGGCTGGTGGGGTGAGAGGCTGTGATACTGCATACAAAGAAACTGTTTCTTAAAAACCATAGTAAGTAATGTTTTAAGCATCTTACATCCTTGTGTGATAGTCTGTTATTCACAGGCATTCTGCCATGTTTAAATTGCTTTTTAGAGCTGGTCCCCTGTGGTGCTGTTTACAACTCATTGATCACAATCAGTTAGACTTCTTTCCTCCTTTTCTACCCCTACAACTTCATTTGACTAGCCTTCAAATGAATAAACAAATAAATTTTTTAGAAAACTGGCTAGGAATTTGTGGTTAGCAGCTATCATGTAATTTTTCTATGTGAAATAATAAGAGTATTGCTTTTTGGCCTTTTGGCTAAGATCAAGGGAGATAAAGGAGTAACAGGCTCTGAGAGTTTTCATGTAGAATGTCTACTTTTAGGTATGGCTTGCTGAAGTTAAGTGGATGATGCCTGTATTTCGGGTCTTTCTGACTGCCGGTACAATTGAGAAAGTAAGTCAAAACACAAGAAACGTTACACAAGACAACACCAAATGTCACAGACAAGACATTATAACTGTCAAAAAAAGGTGCGTGCAAACAATAATAGCCAAGAGCTCAAAGAGACTGCAGTGGGTCAGGGCCAAGCTAACCTGAGAAGTGTACCTTAAAAAGGAAGAAAAGCAAAACTCTCTTGGCATGCTTAACTGTGATGCTTAACCGACATCCTTGCAGTGAAAGATGACCCTTTTAAAATAAATTCTCAGCTGGGCTTGGTGGCTCAAGCCTGTAATCCCAGCACTTTGGGAGGCTAAGGCAGGCAGATCACCTGAGGTCAGGAGTCTGAGACCAGCCTGACCAACAGGGTGAAACCCCATCTCTACTAAAAATACAAAAATTAGCTGGGCCTCAGTGGCTCATGCCTGTAATCCCAGATAATCAGGAGGCTGAGGCAGGAGAATTTTTTGAACCCGGGAGGTGGAGGTTGCAGTGAGCTGAAATCGTGCCACTGCATTCCAGCCTGGAGCAGTGGCTCATGCCTGTAATCCCAGCACTTTGGGAGGCCAAGGTGGGGTGGATCATTGAGGTCAGGAGATTGAGACCAGCCTGATCAACATAGTAAAACCTCATCTCTATTAAAAATACAAAAATTAGCTGGGCATGGTGGCAGGTGCCTGCAATCCCAGCTACTCGGGAGGCTGAGGCAGGAGAATCACTTGAACCTGGGAGGTGGATACAGCAGTGAGCCAAAATCGCGCCACTGCACTCCAGCTTGGGTGACAGAGTAAGACTCTGTCTCAAAAAAAAAAGTATACTAGTTGCCTTGTTACAATAAAGCTAAATGCGTATACACACAAAGGGAAGGAAGGACAGACAGGGGTGGGACGAAGGGTATAGAAGAAAGGCCAGGAGATATGGCCCTTCCATTTGACAGTAAATAGACTAAATTTAAAAACATTTACACGGTATACTAGGTGCAAGGCACCAGAGTTCATGTGAAATGGAAGATATCGGCCGGGCACGGTGGCTCACGCCTGTAATCCCAGCACTTTGGGAGGCCGAGGTGGGTGGATCACGAGGTCGAGAGATCGAGACCATCCTGGTCAACATGGTGAAACCCCGTCTCTACTAAAAATACAAAAAAATTAGCTGGGCATGGTGGCGGATGCCTGTAGTCCCAGCTTCTCGGGAGGCTGAGGCAGGAGAATTGCCTGAACCCAGGAGGCGGAGGTTGCGGTGAGCCGAGATCATGCCATTGCACTCCAGCCTGGGTAACAAGAGCGAAACTCCGCCTCAAAAAAAAAAAAAAAAAAAAAAAGAAGATATCACCAGAAGGTAGGGTAGACTTTAGAAAGGACTGACATCAGAAGCTACATTAGGTTTTAGAAGGGACACTAAGCTGCTTTCTCAGCAATGTTCTAGTCTGAGACCACAGGCAGTCTACAAACTGTTTCCCTGACAAAGGTATAGATTACCTTTTTTTTGCTTTTTTTTTTTTTTTTTGAGACAAGAGTCTTGCTCTGTTGCCCAGGCTGGAATTCAGTGGAGCAATCTTGGCTCATTGCAACCTCTGCCTCTCGGGTTCAAACAATTCTTGGACCTGAGCCTCCCAGGCAGCCAGGATTACAGACACACGCCACCACCATGGCTGGCTAATTTTTTGTATTTTTAGTAGAGGCAGGGTTTCACCATGCCAGGCTGGTATCGAACTCCTGAACTCAAGTGATCTCCCTGCCTCAGCCTCCCAAAATGCTGGGATTACAGGCATGAGCCATTACGTCCAGCCCACTCTTAACGTAAATGAAAGTTGGTACTGGTAAGTCACAGGTGAGCTACCTATGAGAC